AAGGACCACCATCGACTTACTTTGCGTTCCTTCAATGGCGGAAACTTTGAACAAAGATCTTGTTTTCCGCTCTGAATGAAAGTCTTGATCGGAATGACTGCAATTGATCTCGGTGTGCTAGGCGTGTTCGTAGTAGCAGCTGTTTCATTCTTGTGAAACTATCTAGCACCAGAATTATCTAATGGACCAACACCCTCTTTTGGTGACATCGCTGCTAATACTTTTATCAACTATGGCCTAACAAGCGGATTTTAGTGACATCGTCGTAGGGCCTGTTGACAATCCGTATTTTCTGGCTTGGTCCTATTATTCATTATAGTTTTTGATTGAATATTATCATTGATTGGATATCATAAAGTGAAACTAAACTACTTTAAAATTAATATGTGGTCAATTCTTATATATTGAGATAAAAAAACTAAACGAACGTGTTGTAAACAAATTTACTTGAGCTAATAAATTTTGACATAAAATGCAGTGTTAAACAATAAATAATAAATTATAAATATGTATTACCTTATGCACGATCCACTTTCATGAATAGTACCTATTCATATAAAATCTGCTCCTTTTTCCATAACATGTTCACGCTAAAATAGCGAATCTCTCGTGTTGCATTTGTGTAAGTATGTATGCATGTAGGTAATGCAATGCTGATTTATACATATTTTTATTCACATTTTTTACTCATCCAAAAACATAAGATATTTAAGACTTTATGTGTTAAACGAAAATAAATGTATAATCATCACGTTTCATTTGATCATGATATATGTTCTGTTCATTACAATTCTCTGCTCATGTAAGATAATCAAAACATTAATTTTAAATAAAAAAAACCCTTTTACACCTAACTTTAGCAAAGTGTTTGCTCTTATTGTCCAGTTGTATGTATGTACTATGTTAAGGCCACAATTTAAATGATGATGGCAACTACGGAGATGATTGCAATAGCCTGCAATGATGACGACGGCTTAAACGACGAACGATTCTTTGTCTAAGAGTGTGAAGAGAGTTGCAGATGGTATGTTGGTTAATTCGATTTAAGAAAACATGCAAGTATTTTAAAGTAGTAAAGTATGTAGGTATATTAGACCGATTCACAAAAAATAGTGCTTCAAATATTGTTGTTCTATACTAAAGGGGTCACAATTTTCAAAAAGATGATTCCAAGACTCAATATTTTGAGTCTGGAAATGGTCGTATTTTTTAAATTTTACTTTGCTTTTTAAATGAAAATCGGTCCAGCTCACAAACGACGATAACTAGACTCAAAATATTTATCACAAAATAAAGCAGTTTAAATTTTGAAGGTACAACGAAAGCGCTACTTAGCTTTCCATATACTTAGATTGAGTCAGTCTATTGTAAGTATTTACAATTTATGTATTTATATTTGTATATACAGTAAAAACTCAAATCAAACAATGAGACTATGTAGTTGAGGAATATCTACAACTATAAGTTGACTCATAAGACATCACCAAAAGAAATAGTTATACTTTATATAAAACTAGAGAACCATGGGTGCTTCGCTACACAGTTAAAATTAAATAAAAATTTTGTTTACTTTTATAGTAAAGTATCTTGTAAATTCTCATTTAATAAGGACCGTATACCGCACTACAGAAACGTACAATTTAAATAATGAAAACGTACCAAAGAGTCTCCTATTACAGATTCTAATTCAGCCAGGACCCTGCATGTTCAATATTATAGTACCATTTGTGGGACGAGAAAGCACCAAAATGTTCTTTATTAAAGAATATATCTCTAGGTTCAATATTAAAGATAATACTAAAAGTACCATTTGATGAACTTAAAAGTACCAAATATTTGACTCATTCTTATTTAATCAGAGTCTTGTAGATTTAATATATTTGTTTCTATACTAATATTGTTAAAAATACGATTAGAACGATGAAATTGTGGAATAAGTTCCATATTAATGGTAAGTACTTATAAAAAGAGTACCATTTTGACCTTTTACGTCTAGGAATAGCTCAAACCAAATTTGGTCATATATAGGCTTTAGTACTACAATTTCAAAAAATACAGTGATTCTCCCCTGTGAAATAGCAAATGTTTTGTTTCAAAGAATGTTACAGAGCTAGTTCATAATTCAATATGTATAAGTCAATAAATGGAAAAAGTTTTCTTAATGTAATGCTAAAATAGTACCAAAAACACAGTTTTCTCCATTTTACACCCAAAAAGGACTGAATTTTTAACAAATAAGAGTTTTATATTCGGCTATGCCGAATCTTATATACCCGCCATCAAATCGTATGCCGTAAATGGAATGTTCTACTGTAAACTTCAGGCAGATCAGGCTTAAGTCAATTATGTACGTGATCTTCGAATTAACAAATTATTAATTTTTAAAAACAAAATAGTTTTGTCCAATTTATAACTATGAACATACATATATGGGAGATAGGGTCAATTATGGACTGTTTGTCGTAGAATTTGGTAGAAAGATTTCGAGTCGTATAACACTTATTCGTTTCGAATTTCATCGCCATACTCGTATTTTTAAAATGCTTATGACTGTTAAAGTTGTTTTTCGGGGGGCCACTTGTATGGGGGCTATGCGAAATCGTCGACCGATATTTGCAAATGGGCCATATCGGTCGACGAAATTTAAGTCTCTAGCTCTTTCCGTTCGAACCCTATCGTGCTTTCAACAGACAGACGGACGGACAGACAGACGAACATGGCTAGATCGGCTTAGAATTTAATAAGGACCCAGAATATATATACCTTTGTGGATCTACGACCAATATTTCGATGTGTTACAAACTGAGTGGCAAAATCAATATACCCCCCCCCCCCCCCTCTTTTTTGATGGTGGGTATAAAAAGTACGAAACAGGTGTCTGATAATTTTGAGAGACAGCTATCTGAACTTCTTTGGACAATATTTGCTAAGACCACTAGGTGAAAAGTTACACTCATTTGAATAAAAGCCTGTATGACCAAAGTGTCCAACTTTGACCCCCTCTAAATCCGGCAGTTCTTGACCGATAGAGCTGAATATTTGTTTCAAATTTCATCAAAATCGATTTTTTGAGTTGGGTCACTTGACATGAAATTGCCCATTTAGATGTTAGAACACATTCCAGTAATACTTGCATGGCTATCTAATCTGTAGGCGGTGTTGTTTTTCAGGCAATTAATTATCCTGGAATTCACCTCAAACACTTTCTTTTAGTGAACAATATGTGGCATAAATCCTTTCCATTGAAGTATAAATGACTGTCCTTATATTGCCCTTATGACTTTAGAGTTTATAACTTCCATGATATTTTTTAGCACACAAATTCTTACTCGAAAAAGTGGAACCGAAAAACTTTTGCAATCAATAAGTTAACAAATGAACACATATGTACTTACATTCGACATGTTGAAGCAATACATAATGATGAAATCATTTTTGATATAAATCATAAAATTTCATTTAAATTCCCCATAAAAATTCTTGATCATTTTTGAAGAAAAGTTTGCAAAATTATTTTATTATAAATTTAGTGACTCTAAAGTTAATAAAAAGTACTGAAAATAACACAAGGGACTAACTTATTATTTATTTTGACTTTCTACTATATAAAGATTTTACTGTACTTACATGTAATGGATACATGTATATCTTTACGTTTCTTAATATTTGCCAATGTTGGTAGAATTTAGAGCCTTTATACGTTGTTAAATTTAATCATATTTTTAGTGCAAAGGGCACCAATAGTTTTAATCGTTTGTACAAACGGATAATGATTGTATAGGGTTTCAATATTATACTATTTAATGGATTCTTATACTCTTTAATGGATTCTGTATGAAAATAATTCATAAATACCACTGTCGTCAGACCTATTAATAATAAACACTACATTAACATTTTCTATAAGTAGTTAATAGTTTTTAATAATATTTTTTTTATAGATCGAGCTATTTAAAACCAATGTATTATCAGCTATAATTCTTTATCGTATTACTATTGATATGTTTTTATTAAGAGTGTAAAAAAGTTGTCGAAAATTTGTCCATTCATCCGCAATTTTTCCACTCTCACTGGAAGATCATGAAACGAAATAAATATTTTACTTATACATATTGTAAATTTTTTACTTTTTTGTGATTGAGGTGATAAAATACCTATTATTCAGAGTCTATGAATACTTTTACGATATATGTATGTATGTATGTATGTATGTATGTATGTATGTATGTATGTATGTATGTATGTATGTATGTATGTATGTATGTATGTATGTATGTATGTATGTATGTATGTATGTATGTATGTATGTATGTATGTATGTATGTATGTATGTATGTATGTATGTATGTATGTATGTATGTATGTATGTATGTACTTCGAGCTCGATAGTTATAAAATATTTTTATTAGTTGGTCGAAACGTTTGGGTTTAGCAAGCAGTCTAAAGTACATTTGTTTTCAGTAACAAATCTTTGTTTAATTGACTTATTTGAACTGATAAAGCTGATATTTATTATATATAAATCGACCATTAAATAAGAAACGTTATTTTTAATAATTAGACTATTTTTAACAGATTTACTTTTGAATGACACTATCAGTTCAGCAAAATCCAAAAACCGGTATAGGATCATTTGAAGGTATGCAAATTCATAACATAAATTTTATATAGTCCACACCCCGAGATCCAATTTGTAAGGTATACTTGTAGCATATTGCTCCCTATAATTTCTTATAGTGCACTTAGTCACACCCCATAAAAAGATCGTTATGTACTTCCCCTTTCAAAATTTTGAATTTCTTTGGTAAAATGCAAACTACTTAAGACAATAATTTAACTCAAAATTAGAAATTGGAGGCAAACGTTGATAATATTTAATCACATTCAAAAATGTATTTTTATTTGTTTATGTTCAATCTGTTTATGTTTGTTATCGTGTTTTACTAATCAAGTAATATTATTTGCTATAAAATATTCGAAACAAACAGTAACCAATTCAGTAGTTATTCATCCCAAATAGAAACATGTCGAAAATTATTTTATTCTCAATCCTCTTCAGTGCCATAGCATTCGAATCGAATTGTTACGTACACAATCGCGTTGTAGATAATAATTTTGCAAATATTCTTTTAAAATCGAGTAACTTAATTCAGGATAGTCCGCAACGTAGTTTGGAGTGTTTCGCAATTTATATTCCAAAAATCAACGAATTAACAGCTAAATATGAGCTCGAATACGAAACTTGTTTGCGAAGTTCTGCCGATGCTCGCAGCATTATCGATAAAGAAGTCGAAGGTGATCGTAAGGATTTAGAATCGTCTGCTACTGACATCTGTGGTGCTTTAGAAAAATGTGGTCAACATGATTCTTCATATGACTTTTTTGAATGTCACTATGGTGTTGTAAGCATAGATATTATTTGTTTAATATTATTTCCATTTATTACTTATGTATAATATTTTCAACACTCTTTTAGGCTGGAGAATCATTAAATAGCACGAGATATATACAAAATGTTTCGAAAGATAAAATGGAATATATAAAATTTAAATTTGATACCATTGAATACGATCAAAATCGCTGTACGGATGAATGCTCTCGTGTTTATGTGGAAGAATCTACAAAAACTTATAGTGATTTAGATAAATGTTTGGCTGGTGTAGCAGTTGATTCCATGTCACAAGAGAAAGCACAATCAGATGGAACCACCACTTCTACTAAAACAGATTAATATTTCCTATCTGACTAGTATCCTCTTTAGTTGTGTAGTGTCTCAAACGTTAAAAAGCTACAAATATATAATTGTCGACTTTTAGTTTTAATTTGAAATTAGTTAATAAATAAATTAATATAGAAACACAATAAAACCCTTATTTTTTATTAACAATAAACTTATAACTGGAAATATTTTAAAATTTAAATTAATTTATAACATGGAATTTTGTTATAAAACATAGTATACAGCAAGAGAATGCAATGGACGTCTATTATTAGTTTTCACAAAAAACAAATCGTTTCTTTTAAAAACAAAGATCGAGAAGAAAGTAAGTACTTACATAATATATAACTTGTGAGTGATTGCTAGATTCCTTCTAAGTAATGATGACGATATGTATTATTCATTAAAAAGTAAGTTGTTGAGTAAGTACCATGTTTTTGATGGGATACTTACCCAGTTAAAACTTTCATTACCATGTAAGGGGTTAAATTTCTAAAATTTACTTATACAAAAGCATTTTTAGTCATTGGAGGCAAGTACTTACCACAAACGATTACATACATGTAATTAGAAAAAGTAGTCATTGTAAATCACATTACCTAGTTTTTGCTGGGTTTAGAATCTCAATACTGCTTAATCGAATGTATACGTTCAAACGAATAAACTGGTATTTACACCCAATAAAAATAATAATTTTAGGACCCCAGATATATCCGAGCCCAAGACTTGAATATTTTTAAGAGACATGTTTTAGAGAAGTTTCTATTCGATATTTTTTAATTTTTTTTTTTTTGATTTGATTAATTTTAATTTTTGGATAATTTTTCCATTGATTCCAAGAAGATGTTACGGAACTATGTGTTCTATATAACTAGTGTAGTACCAATGCTTACTTTTCAGTTCTGAAACCACAAAAGTGTCCCACCAAACGGGTTCCAGAAGCAATGGCGACATCACTACTTTCAAGGTTGCTGTTTAAGAACCTGAATTGGTTCCGTTTGAAAAGGGTATATAATTTCGACCCTATAAACCCTATCAATGCTTTCGAGAAACTTCCTATTTAAAATTATAAATTTTTCGAAACGATCCCCGAAAATGTTACGATTTTCTTATTCTTGATTGTTTTTTCTGCAAATATGGAAGTTAACTCAACAAATTTTGTTACAAGACCTTTTTCCATATAGATACTAATATGGTTGAAAATTTTTGGAATCGGTTTAATATTTACTCACGGAAAATGGATTTATTGTTAATAACCCCCCCCTAGAATATCGATATTACAACAAAACATTAAAACGGAAACCTGGATGGTTCCATAATTGACCGTAGCTCCCATATAAGGATTACCTCCGACTATGACTTAAACGCACATTATCAAATGTTTCGATATATTTTTTGTATCCCCATAGCGATATTTTGTCTTCATTGGTGTTATAAGTTGTTACTTGATTTCTGAGTTGTGATGTTCTAAAAAGCTGAAGTTTTGTCAATATTCCTGGAGAAGTTATTTGAGTACATTATCCATTTAGGTAATACCAAAAGTACTGCCCTGTAAATATTATTGGAGTAGATGATCCTCTAAGTTGTCCTATGTAATGCTGGTATGGATAAAGTTTATATTTTGTTGCGGATCATGTACTCCCATAATTTTAGAAAGGGAATAGTTTTGTGATTACTCTAATGGATTAAATGGTCCTCACCAAAGACAACAATGTTAAATGGTCCCAGAAAACACCAACCAACTTCAATTATCTAATTATAAAAATATTATTTCTTTTTGTTTAATTAGTCATTACTTATGTTTAAAAAAATTGTTGAGGTTCTTTCCCCTTCAATGATTCTTAACTTTTCAAGGAAATCATAAATGGAAACCGCAATGTCGCAACGCCTTTATAATTTCAGACACTCATTTTACTATTATTGGAAATTAGAATAGAAAGCTGATAATAACAACAATAATTGCAAAAATTATATTATATGTTGGCCTAAATCTGATAATGTTATCGTTTTTGTTAAACTTTTAATCAAAAATCTAATTCCCTATAAAATCTTTTACGGAAACAGTAACCAATTCAGTAGTCATTCATCCCAAAACGAATCATGTCGAAAATTATTTTATTCACAATCCTCTTCAGTGCCATAACATTCGAGACTAATTGTTTTAAACACAATCGCGTTTTAGATAACACTTTTGCAAATATTCTTTTAAAATCGAGTAACTTAATTCAGGATAGTCCGCAACGTAGTTTGGACTGCTTCGCAATTTATATTCCGAAAATCAATGAATTAACAGCTAAATATGAGCTCGAATACGAAACTTGTTTGCGAAGTTCTGCCGATGCTCGCAGCATTATTGATAAAGAAGTCGAAGGTGATCGTAAGGATTTAGAATCGTCTGCAACTGACATCTGTGGTGCGTTAGAAAAATGTGGTCAACAGAATTCTTCATATGAATTCTTTGAATGTCACTATGGTGTGGTAAGTATCACGATATATTATTTAACATCATTTCAATTTTTTTAATTTTTAAATTTTTTAATATTTTTTTAGGCTGGCGAATCAATGAACAGCACAAGATATATACAAAATGTTTCAAAGGAGAAAATGGAATATATAAAATTTAAATTTGATACTATTGAATATGATCAAAATCGCTGTACGGATGAATGCTCCCGTGTTTATGTTGAAGAGTCTACAAAGACTTATAGTGATTTGGACAAATGTTTAGCTGGTACTGCCGTCGATTCAAGACCGCAAGAGAAACCACAACCAGTAGAAACAACTCCTGCTGTCACTGCTGCTACCACAGATCAAGAAGAGTAATAATTTGTATTTAACAAGGTAGTTCCTCAAAATTAAACTAAGGAAAATATACAAGAAATCAAATAATAAAAATTTTTAAAATATCAAGTAGTTTTGGTTTTAATAACTATTTTTTTCTGATTTCTTTATTTGTATATATTAATAAGTAAGTTTATACTCAACACCAGTAAATTTCGAAGGGTCATGCCCATAGAAAACGTTTGAAGGCGATCCATCTGGTTGATAGTACACCCAGGCCCTATATAGTAATAAGTGAATCTATTATCGTCCGATGTTCAGAAACTCAGTTTCTTGGACGTAATTCCTAAGAATGTTTTAGGCGAAAGACTGACAATGGCAAAGAGAGTGCTCTAGAGTTTCTCTGTGCTCTCTACATAATCTACATTCGTCTGAATCTGCACGTCCAATTTTATTCTACGTATCATACTAACTTAGACTTACTAATTTTGAGGTTTCTGGCCCTGCTTTCACCTTTAGGATATTCGTGATTCTTCCCACCGTTTCATTCCTCCAAAAAGCCTTATGGGTTTCTCTCACCGATATTTCTAATTCAGCTCCCGTCGATTCAAATAGTTTTGCGTTCGTCAGGTTAACTACCTCGAGCTCGAGCGATTACTTCAGAGTGGCCTGGTACCCATATGATGTAAACCTTACCTCTGAGAGAGTATTCGGTTAGAGCCTTTTTTTACAATTCAATACAGTCTTAGATTCACTTTATCATCTGATGCCTTCTTACTGTCGGTAAATATGTTAAGCGCTATATTTATTCTAATTCAATTTACGCAATCTGTTATTGCTCGGACTTCTGCCTGGAAGCTGGTGTTGTTATTAGGTAAACGGTGGTATAATTCAGGCCCACTTTGTACGACAATTTCTTAATCAAGTATTGTCGATTTTTACTTAAAGAGTCATCGATGTTGTTAAATTACTATTATATTTAACATAATTATGAGCTCCAAAGTTCTATTCGTGGTCTCGGGTGGGCTAGTTCAAATACTGTACAGATTGCAACCATTTTCTATATATTGCTTTGACAGCCTTAATAAAGAAATTCATATATGTTTTACTTCAAGGCCATCTCAAAACATTTTGGGAATCATTAATAAACAAAACAGGGTAAATTTAATACTACTTATTTAATATAATTTTAAGCTCCGATGCCCTATTGGGTGCTTAAAAGGAATAGTGCCAAATTTCTTAAGATTATTGAAAATAACCACTTGTGCCTTGCGCACATAGTTTTAAGGACAGCCAGCCCAATATGAAAATCTCCAAGCGGGAATACCCTTTTTTAAACCATAGATATAGTCAATTGAACTGAAAATACATAATGACTTAATTTTATACATATTAGTTTTGAAGATTAGATTAATATTAAATACTTTTTAAGAATATACATATGTTTTATTATAACACACTTTAATTATAAAAACAATTAATTATGATTAATAAGTGTAATCAAACTTAAATTCGCAGAAAGCCTCTTTTTATTAATTGTTAATAATTTGTTTATTATCATTATCAGCAAATAGTTCTAACTAGTACTTGTACTTTTAAGTGATAAAACATAATATTTGTTTCTTTTTATATTTCCATTCATTATTTTTATAAACAAAATTTCACTCAAATAATTAGTTATTGGAAATCACACGATCTCCAATCGCAAGAAATCTAATGGTTTATTAGTATTAACTTTAAAAGTTTTTTTTTTTGCCATATAAAATTATTCAAATGTTTCAAATTATGTCCCTGAATGACACAAAACTAGAAAGAGGAACCCTAAGTTAAAACAATTTAAATATGTTTAAATACAAACACACACGAATGTTACAAAATTCAGTGTTTAAATAATTATTCGTTGTTTAAACTTTCAGCAGGTTATCCAGGGCCATTTATAACCAACTGTGACCAAAGTAATTTAGAATATGCAAGCATATAGTATGTGTATGAGTAGCACATATTAAAAATGTTTAAAAAAGTTCCATATGCACTGGTTAGTGATTGTTTGAACGTTCTTAATGGGCATCTGACTTTTTGTAAACGAAAGAGAAAACTGCAATTCTATATAGTATTTTTTTTTTAATCGTGTTACTGATACTGTCCATCTTTTATCTTCAAATTATTGAATTTTCAATATATTTTATTTCGGCTTAATGAAAATCACACAAGATAAAACAAAATGACAAGATATTTACATAATGTACATGTAGATATTAACACTATTATTTTGGATGCAAAATGCTTTATAACTCAGAAACCATATGAGTCGTGTCAAAATTTGAAAATTGGCACATAGGTTTTCCTTATCATAATTAGTAAGGGATTAAAAGTCACCGAAAATATCTTGTGCTCTGAGCGAGATATTGGAAGCCAAAGGTTACAAAAATCAGTTTTTGTCGAATATCTGGCTTAATTGGTGGTCACAATCTACATATTTCGAGTAATATTCCCACCAAATTTTATTAAAATCTGACTTTATCTTTAAATATTTTGTAACAATTTTTAAAATATGATTGATCAGTTGTTGCAAGAGCAAAAAATAAGAAAAGAGAACATTTTGTACTCTCATATTCACTACAATACAGGCATGGGAAGTTTTATTTGTGAAATGGTGGTATTTTAATTAAAAGTAATAGTTATAATTTGTAAATTTAATTTTCTTCACTACTATCAATTTAAGAAATATAAATAGATTTAAATTTGTTTCTTTAGGGAAATATATTTATTTAAAAACTAGTAGGAAAGTATAGTATATACCCTACACCATGAGTATATTTTTAAAATTTTTATTATTCATAAAGAAACTTCTATGTTGAATTTTACCTTAATTGCAAAGTATGTAAGCAATTTTTTTGATAAAAAACAAATTTTAAATATACTGTTAGTTTTGTTGAGTTTCATTGCGATACAAATGGTTACAAGTCAATTTTAGACGTTTAAGACATTTTTTGAAGGAGGGTTTGTATGGGGGCTAGGGTCAAATAAGGGCCAATCATTACGAAAATCTGCAGTGTCATTTATACTTATATAAAACTTATTTATGCCAATTTTAAGAGAGATAATAGTATATTTGACGTAATTATGGCATAAAAAGCCCAAATCGGGAGGTACGGGGGCTAGGTGAAATAATGGACCGATTTCAACCATTTTCAATAGGCTTCGTCCCTGTGGCAATAACATGCTTGGTACGAATTTCTTAATCATGTCTTAATCGACTCAAAAAATGATTCTGAATCGATCGGTATAGGACCAATATTTTTGTGTGTTACAAAAATCAGCACAAACGTATAATACCCTCCCCACTATAGTGGTGTAGGGTATAAATATTTTTTTGGATATTTGAAAGTTATTATGGAGAATGTAAGTTAATACTGAATTGTCAATTTTTGTTTTGAGATTAAATTATAAACAATTTGCCGATTAAAATTTAATTCCTTTTAACTGATTCGTAAAGCTGTTTTTTAGATTCGGGTAAAATTTTAATTACAATAATGGATTTGTAAAATCATAAAAATGCATTTAATATTCCATTTGGTCTTACATATTTGCAAAAAAATAAGCAATGAAATATTAAAAATAGCTAAAGAGAATTAAAAAAATCATTAAAAATGCGTTCTTTTAGAAAAAATTACAATTCTAAAATCGTAGATCGTGTTAAAAAACATTAAGATATCCATCACCGCTTTTGCAGACATTCGACAATACGCTCAAACGAGACTGAGTACGTTGTTGTAAATTTAGTAACGGCCGAAAAGCACGCGTGCATAGGAAATGTTTTGCTCTGGTTTACATTAATATTGGAGACAAATTAAAGTCGGTTGTCTGTATTATAGCTTGTTGAAGTCGTGGTCTGATTTCAACGAAATTTAGCGCAAGTATTTTCCTGACTTTGTAGATTATTTCGACTATTTTTTTTTCAAATTATATTCAAAATTGTAACCTATGACCCCATCGAAAATTTTGGAGACGGACATTGCACTATGGGCCAGAGAGTGTTGCTGTGATAAGGGATGTAACAGAAATAAATTATGTATTTTTTGCTAAAATTATAAAGAACAAATTCGACAGTCTCTGTATTGGAGTTAAAAATATTATGATTTGAAAATGTCAAATGCAATGAAAAATAATGCAAAATAGCCCGAAAACAACTAATGTTATGCGGAGATATTCCGCAACCAAAATGTAGGAAATTGAATACCCTAATATAAATTATAATAGCATAATAAGAGAGATATTCTCTAAAAACAGGTTTTTGTAACCTTTGACCTCCATTATCTCGTTTAGCTCATGATATTTTTGGTGACTTTTAATCCCTTACTAATTATGTTAAGGAGAAGCTATGTACCAATTTTCATTTAGCTATCTAAAATTCCGCAGCAGAACCCTTATTTTCCTGGGCTATATTAAATTTTGAAAATTTGAATCCGCATTCGTAATCAGTGACTAAAGAACTAAAAAAAGCGTTCAGACAGTGGGATGTAAACCGCCTAAAAAACAAAAGTAGCCGACAAAAAAAAAAAAAAACACTTCGCAAATGTATCACTAATATTAGTGATGCATGGGAAGGTTTAAGTCTTAAGCTGATCCCAGCTGAGGAAAATCCAATGAGGCCTTGCGCAAGAATTTGGTTATAAAAAATGACAATCTAAGCACCGAAGATGTTGAAATGTCTGAAGCTACAGAATTTCAACATATAGATGGATGATCATAATGCCTAATCCTATTGCAGGCTCCATGGAATTAGAGTAGGTGGGATTTAGGCTGTTCTTCGGGGTGAGGGACGCTAAGGTAAAAGCATTCCGGCCGATCAAATCGGCAAACTAGCTAAAATGAAGACAAAAGGGTGCTGAAGATATCACAAATTAATTGTAGCACTCAAAATGTGCAACAGACAATTTACGTGTTCTTCTAGCCGAGAAGGAAACATTGACATTATGGTCATAATGTCAGCCTGTATAATACTATATGATCTCAATATTAGGGACAATCTAGGAATTTTTGTTGACCGTCAAGCGGGACTTCTTTCACTAAACTCTTATACTACCACCTCTCTATTAGTCAGACAGTGCAAG